ATTCCACAGAAATTCAAACCATCATCAGAGATTATTACAAACAACTCTATGCACATAAACTAGTAAACCTGGAAGAAATGGATAAATTCCTGGACACTTGCCTCCACCCAAGCCTAAACCAGGAAGAAGTCGAAACCCTGAATAGACCCATATCAAGGTCTGAAGTTGAGGCAGCAATTAAGAGCCTACCACCGAAAAAAAGCCCAGGTCCAGACGGGTTCACAGCCAAATTCTACCAGACATACAAACAGGAGCTGGTACCATTCCTTCTGAAAGTATTCCAAATAATCCAAAAAGAGGGAATCCTTCCCAAATCATTTTATGAGACAACATTATCCTGATACCAAAACCTGGCAGAGCCTCAACAAGAAAAGAAAACTTCAGGCCAATATCCATGATGAACATAGATGCAAAAATCTTCAATAAAATACTGGCAAGCCGATTGCAACAGCACATCAAAAGGCTTATCCACCATGATCAAGTAGGATTCATCCCAGGGATGCAAGGCTAGTTCAACATACGCAAATCCAAAAATGGAATTCACCACATAAACAGAATCAAAGACAAAGATCACATGATTATCTCAATTGATGCAGAGAAGGCCTTTGACAAAATTCAACAGCCCTTTATGCTAAAAACCCTCAATAAACTAGGGATTGACAGAACGTATCACAAAATAATAAAAGCTATTTATGACAAACCAACAGCCAATATCATACTGAATGGGCAAAAACTGGAAGCATTCCCTTTGAAATCTGGCACTAGACAAGGATGCCCTCTCTCACCACTGCTATTCAATATAGTACTGGAAGTTCTAGCCAGAGCAATCAGGCAAGAAAAAGAAATAAAGGGTATTCAAATAGGAAAGGAGGAAGTCAAACTGTCTCTGTTTGCAGACGACATGATTGTAGATCCAGAAGACCCCATCATCTCAGCCCAAAGTCTCCTGAAACTGATAAACAACTTAAGCAAAGCCTCAGGATACAAAATCAATGTGCAAAAATCACAAGCATTCCTATATACCAATAACAGACTTAAAGAGAGCCAAATCAAGAATGAACTGCCATTCACAATTGCTACAAAGAGAATAAAATACCTAGGAATACAGCTAACAAGGAACGTAAAGGGCCTCTTCAAGGAGAACTACAAACCACTGCTCAACGAAATGAGAAAGAACACAAACATTCCATGTTCATGGTTAGGAAGAATCACTATCGTGAAAATGGCCATACTGCCCAAAGTAATTTACAGATTTAACGCTATCCCCATCAAGCTACCAATGACCTTCTTCACAGAACTGGAAAAAAACACCTTAAACTTCATATGGAACCAAAAGAGAGCCCTCATAGCCAAATCAATTCTAAGCAAAAAGAACAAAGCGGGAGGCATCACACTACCAGACTTCAAACTATACTACAAGGCTACAGTAATCAAAACAGCATGGTACTGGTACCAAAACAGAGATATAGACCAATGGAACAGAACAGAGGTCTCGGAGGCAACACAACATATCTACAACCATCTGATCTTTGACAAACCTGACAAAAACAAGCAATGGGGAAAGGATTCCCTGTTTAATAAATGGTGTTAGGAAAACTGGCTAGCCATGTGCAGAAAGCAGAAACTGGACCTTCCTGACACCTTACACTAAAATTAACTCCAGATGGATTAAAGACTTAAACATAAGACATAACACCATAAAAACCCTAGAAGAAAATCTAGGCAAAACCATTCAGGACGTAGGTGTAGGCAAGGACTTCATGACCAAAACACCAAAAGCATTGACAACAAAAGCCAAAATAGACAAATGGGACCTAATCAAACTCCACAGCTTCTGCACAGCAAAAGAAACAGTCATTAGAGTGAATCGGCAAACAACAGAATGGGAAAAAATTTTTGCAGTTTACCCATCTGACAAAGGGCTGATATCCAGAATTTACAAAGAACTAAAACAGATTTACAAGAAAAAAATAAGTCCATTCAAAAGTGGGGGAAGGATATGAACAGACACTTTACAAAAGACATACATGAGGCCAACAAACAAATGAAAAAATGCTCATCATCACTGGTCATTAGAGAAATGTTAATCAAAACTACATTGAGATACCATCTCATGCCAGTTAGAATGGCGATCATTAAAAAATCAGGAGACAACAGATGCTGGAGAGGATGTGGAGAAATAGGAACGCTTTTACACTGCTGGTGGGAGTGTAAATTAGTTCACCCATTGTGGAAGACAGTGTGGCAATTCCTTAAGGACCCAGAAATAGAAATTCTGTTTGACCCAGCAATCCCATTACTGGGTATATATCCAAAGGATTATAAATCGTTCTATTATAAGAGCACATGCAGAGGAATGTCCATTGCAGCACAGTTTACAAAAGCAAAGACCTGTAACCAATCCAAATACCCATCGATGATAGACTGGACAGGGAAAATGTGGCACATATACACCATGGAATATTATGCAGCCATCAAAAACGATCAGTTCCTGTCCTTCATAGGGACATGGATGAACCTGGAAGCCATCATTCTCAGCAAACTGACACAGGAGCAGAAAATCAAACACCGCATGTTCCCACACATAGGCGGGCGTTGAACAATAAGAACACATGGACGCAGGGAGGGGAGCACTACACACTGGGGTCTGTTGGAGGGAAATAGGGGAGGGACAGCGGGGGTTGGGGAGTTGGGGGGGGGATGGTATGGGGAGAAATGTCAGATATAGGTGATAGGGAGGAAGGCAGCAAATCACACTGCCACGTGTGTTCCTATGCAACAATCTTGCATGTTCTTCACATGTGCCCCAAAACCTAAAATGCAATTAAAAAAAAAAAAAAGCCAACAGGTGTATATATATATATATATACATGTATAAAATGCTCACAGCACTAATATCAGGGAAATGCAAGTCGAAACCACAATACGATACCATCTAATTTCAGTTAAAATGACTTTTATCAGAAAGATTTTATAAAAATGGATGCTGAGGCAGGCACGATGTCTCACGCCTACAATACCAGCAATTCGGGAGGCTGAGATGGGCAGATCACTTGAGGTCAGGAGTTAGACCAGCCTGGCCAACCTGGTGAAACCCCATCTCTACTAAAAATACAAAAATTAGCTGTGCGTTGCGGTCTGTGCTTGTAATCCCAGCAACTTAGGGGACTGAGGCATGAGAATAGCTTGAACCTGGGAGGTGGAGGTTGTAGTGAGCCCAGATCGAGCCACTGCACTCCAGCCTGGGCAACAGAGAGAGACTCTGTCTCAAAAAAACAAAAGAAAAAAAAAAAGGATGCTGGTGAGGATGCACAAAAGGGGGAACACTTGTACAGTGTTAGTAGTAATGTAAATTACCACAACCATTAATTTACATACTGGAAAAAGAATGGAGGTTCTTCAAAAAACTACAAATAGAATTACCGGTATTTAGATGAGTTTCTTCTATATTCTGGTTGTTAATCCCCTGCGAGATGAATAGTTTCGCAAATTTGGGTACAGATCCAAAAGAAGGGCAATCAGTAAACCTAAGAAATATCTGCAGTCTCAAGTTTATTCACAGTAGTCAAGACATAGAATCAAACTAAGTGTCCATCAACAAATGAATAAAGAAAATGTAGCATATATACACAATGGAATATTAATCAGTCATTAGAAAGAATGAAATCCTGTCATTTGGAGCAACATGGATGGAACTGGAAGTCATTACGTTAAGTGAAATAAGTCAGGTACATGAAGACAATACCAGCTAAAAATACGGACCTGATGGAGGTAAAGAGTGGACTGGTGATTACCACAGACTGGGAAGTGTGGCAGAAGAGGAGGATGAAGAAGAGAAATAGGTTAATGGGTACAAAAACCCCAGAAGGAATAACATCTAGTGCCTGACAGTACAGTCGGGAAGCCGTAGTTAACAGTAATTTATTGTGTAGTTCATAATACCTACAAGAAAAATTGGAATGTTTCCAACATAAAGAAAAAATAAATGTTTGAGATGACAAATACCCTAATTGCCCTGATTTGGTCGTTACACATTGTATGCATGTATCAAAGTATCATCTCTACCCCCCAAATATCTGCAACTGCTATATATCAATTTAACAAATGGGGGGGGGGGGGAAACCCAAACCAAACTCAAAGTGAAATAATTAAAATACTCCAAAGGGAAGAGAGCTATCCCTCAGAATCCTCGAGGAGAAACCTTCGAGAGGTGGTCGACTGACATCGGGATGGATATGCGATAAATAACCACATGGACATTTCGACTTGCCACAGTCACACCTCCGAAGTAAGCTATGTCCCTGCGTCATTTCAGTTCCTCAGGGTACGACAGAGCAGGCCGCCAGGATAAAGCTCAAGCAGGATAAGTCCTAAGCCCCGACCCGCCCGCTTGACCCTCTACTGCCCGGCCCGAGAAGCGCGCAGAAGCGAGAACGCACTTCTCCAGCCAAGTTCATCCCCTCCGTCATTCGCGCGGCCTCTTACTCAACCTCTAGTTCATGTTTCCGAGGCGCAGCTCAAGAGAAACCTGTGGACCCCCCACCCTTCCCCAGCACAGGCCTAGGGCACGAGCTAGAGCAGCTCTTCGGACTTCTTCTCCCACCCCAGGCTCGCTCGGTCTGGAGGATCAACAGCGCCCGACCACCCCTAAGAGTTCCCATTTTGCTTGGGACTGAGGACACAAGGAAATAGACCCACGCGGCAGGTACTAAAGCACAGGTCTAATGCGAACTGACCCCATGTCAGGAGTGGGAGTGCCGCTTCCTCCTCCTCCACGGCGGCCGAGGGGTAAACACAAAGAAATGAAAGGCCGGCGTTCCAGCCACACTCACCAGCACAGCCAAACGCAATTCTGTTTGCGGAAACTGCGGGTCGCGCCACGCGTGTCTTGTTACGTCACTTCCGGGAGTGCGACCGTCACGTGGCGCCTCTCTGGCTAGAGTGCCGCGGCGCACGTCCTCCGCGCCAGAACTACGAGTCCCGACGTGCCGCGCGCGGCATGCAGAAGCTGTGCTGAGCGGGCGCGGGCGGTCGCGAGCACGTTGCTAGTGGGCGCGGTGGCGGGGCCGGGGGCCGTAGGGGGCGAGAGTCCGCCTGAGCCCCGCGGGTTCCGGCGCCCAAACCCACGCTCGGCCGGGTTGCTCTGCTGAGTGACACCACCGTGGCATCCAAGGAGCTGTCCTCCAGCTTGCGCGGCGGGAAGGAGCGGTGGTGGCGGCCTCAGCGTCCTAAGAGGTAGCATGGGCCCTAGACCTCTGTGGGACACCGGGAGGGGTCTAGAGGGCACCTTCAACCCTGGGCGTGTGTCGGAGAGCTGACTCGCGGCGCTAACCTGGCAATTGCTCCGCGCCCGCGGCTCTTCGAGCTGTGGCGGTGTCCGCCTGCCAGACTAGGGTGGTCCTCAATGCCGACCCCACCGCCCCCGGCGGCCTAGAGAGGTCACTCCTGCCCTTCCGGGTCGAGCTTGTGTCTGGCTAATCTTGCTTTGGGAACTGTTTTTCAGCCTCCTCCGCTGTAACCCTTAACCGTCTTCTCTTCCTTTCCTCTGAAGCCAGTTGAAGAGGGGCCTGAAGTGCCCGCGGTCGGAGTGGTTTTAAAAATTAGTCATTTCCTACTTGCTAGGGACTGGTACATCGGTCCTTACCGCCGTATTTGGGAAGCCACAAGAGACCATTCCTGTCTGTTAGATTCTGAGAAAAGGGGCAACCTATACCTGTTTTTGAAAAATACATAACGGTGCATTAACTCTGCCTGGGCTGAACTTTGGCATGGTGCGGTTTGGGGGCGACAACACACTTTTTTTGGCCATCACACCAGATTTCTACTGGGGAGTGAAAGTGCCTACTGTACCGAAACTTGAAAGCTTCATAGTTGAGGACTTTCAACCTGAAATTAGGGCCAAAACTACCTGTGGATAGATTACTGATGCGTGTACTTATTAACGTTGTGTCTCAACACGTCCCTACCTTAGGGGTGTAAAACTGTTATCCGATTTACAATCCGTCTTTAATTACTCCTTATTAAAATTGATCCCTTTAAAACAGCTTTGAAAATATGCTTTACCAGGCTGCCTTCTTGTCAGTAGACACAGGTATATTAATGAATAGATCTGGCTTGGGGGAAGGCAGCATTTCCAGTATGTACTTTCCAATCTGGTCACTTGTAAATTGTGGGCATTAGCCCATGTGAGGTTGTTGAGCCATTACAAACTTTGAACCAAGAATGAGGCCCAGTTTTCACAAATAAGGATGAGCCATCAATTTCAGATGACTGCTTGCATTTGTTATTATATGAAATGAGCTAGGTTGAGAGTTAATCTCATTTCATGAATATTGACAACTGCAAAGGAGTAGGTATTAGAGATCGAATCCATTATACGCATATTCAAGCATTAGAACCAGGCAATTACGTTCCCTGGTTCTGATGGTTACCTTTCTTGAGATAATTACTGTTGTAGTTTTACAGAAAATGAGTGTAATTTTGACTTTTAAAAACACGTTGCCATTAAATTAAAAGCCTCTTAACTATGTGTTTATGAAAACTCCATGTGATTGTGCATGTGATATATAGATATTATATTTTTCAGTTTTTATAGAACTTAACTAGGAGTCATGTAAATTCTGTTGAGAATAGAGGAAGGTTTCTTGAAAGCAGTTAATGTAAGAAGTAAATGAGCCAGATAAAAATAATTTAAAAGTTACCATTGGTATTATTTTCCCCCCATTATTACCTGAGTAATCCCTGGTTTTCTAGACATTAACATAATCATAGCTAATACTTTAGTACCTTCTGTGTGTTCTGTTTGTGTGTCAAGCTTAATACTTCATTCATTTGTACTCGTTTAATTATTCTTTCTTTCTTTCTTTTTTTTTTTTTTTTTTTTGAGATGGAGTGTCGCTCTGTCACCCAGGCTGGAGTGCAATGTTGTGGTCTCAGCTCACTTCAACCTCCACCTCCTGAGCGTGTGTCAGCCCTGGGGTTGAAGCAAGTCTCCTTCCTCAGCCTCCTGAGTGACTGGGATTACAGGTGCACACCACCACACCTGACTAATTTTTGTATTTTTAGTAGAGACCAGTTTCACCAGGTTGGTCAAGCTGGTCTCTAACCCCTGACCTCGTGATCTGCCCACCTCCCAAAGTGCTGGGATCACAGGCATGAGCCACCACTCAGGGCTTACTTCTTATGAGTGTTTTGTTTTACAGATGAGGGTTAAGTAACTTGGCCAAGATGATGCAGATTTTTAGTAGTGGAATCAGGATTTGGATTCAGGTGGTCTGGCTGATTGGCCAAACTCTGCTAATAATGAAACAGTGCCGGCTAGAAGGTCATACTCAGAACTGGAAATTGTCTAGCAAATCCTAGATTTTCAGAAAGTGTTTTGATACTTCTTAATGCCTGGGTTACTATGTCCAGAGATAAAATAGTTAGATAAGGATGTTATCTTGCTGGAATGTGAGCTCCACCAACACAGGAAAGGACATGCAGGATTTATTTCAACCCATTTGTAAGAAGTGAGAGCACATCTCTTAGAGGTGTGTGTATGTATATATATATATATATGAATTATATCCTGCATGTCCTCGCGACGGAGTTTCGATCTTGTTACCCAGGCTGGAGTGCAATGGCGCGATCTCGGCTCACCGCACCCTCCGCCTCCTGGGTTCAGGCAATTCTCCTGCCTCAGCCTCCTGAGTAGCTGGGATTACAGGCACGTGCCACCATGCCCAGCTAATTTTTTGTATTTTTAGTAGAGACGGAGTTTCACCATGTTGACCAGGATGGTCTCGATCTCTTGACCTCTTGATCCACCTGCCCCGGCCTCCTAAAGTGCTGGAATTACAGGCTTGAGCCACTGCGCCTGGCCTAGAGGTATAATTTTAAAGTGTGATTTCTGTTGTAGAGTTGAAGATAATACTTTTGAAACATAAAGATTGTTTTGAAAGTGTAGATACAATGTTATAGCTTCCTAAGATAATGTAATGTGAAGGCAGGCAAGAGAGGTGGTTCATGGAAACTTTGTTTCTCTAAATAGTTTTGGAGGAAGGACTTATCTGTTCCACTCAGGAGAGTATTCCTACTGAAATTTCATTGTCTTTCTGGAGCAAATAAAATATTCTTGTTTAAAGGTTGTTCTTTCAGTTGAAAATAAGATTTTGTTGAGAAGTCCAGAAGTGTGCTGTGTGTGATGATTAATTTTATGTCAGTTTACCTAGTTATTTAATCAAATACTAATCTGCGTGATGCTGTGATGATATTCTGAAGATGTGGTTAATATCTATAATCAGTTGACCTGAACTAAAGAATACTACCCTAAATAATGTGGGTGGGCCTCATTCAATCAATTGAAGGCTGAAAGAGCCAAAACTGAGGTGTCCTGAAGAAGACAGTATTTTCCTCAAGGCTACAGCATCAATTCCTGCCTGAGTTTACTGTCTGTAGATCTACCCTACACATTTTGAAGTTTCTAGCTTCCACAATTGTGTGAGCCAGTTCCTTAAAATACCAATATCTCAATATCTGTCTATATGTAGATGTAGATATTTATGTTTTTATCTACATCTATGTTTTTTTTCCTATCAGTTCTGGAGAGCCTATCAGGCTCTGGAGAGCCCTGACTGATTCAAAAATTTGGGTGCTGAGAGTGGTTCTAGTTAGCAGAATCTTAAGGATGAGTTTTCTGAATTGATTATAGTGTTTCTGGAATTGATTTTCTAACCCGATCAGATTTAAAGGCAATAATGAGTATTCCCAGTAGAAAAGAGGACTCTGATAGTCCATGGTGTGATATGGTAATAGAGATATGCAAAAGATCACTATTGGATACTCCCACTCATGCTTATAGACAACAACAAGATTCAGAACAATCAGATATTTGGTACCTTAGAACATTTAAATCAACTTAATCAGTATAATTTTGGCTGGTTGCTCTTAATTGTGCTGGATGAAGTGAGAAAAGAAAAGGATGATCCCAGCTACTGGGGAGACTGAGGCAGGAGAATCACTTGAACCCAGGAGGTGGAGGTTGTAGTGAGCTGAGATCTCACCACTGCGCTCACTCCAACCTGGATGACAGAATGAAACCTCAAAAAAAAAAAAAAAAAAAAAAAAGAAAGAAGAAAAGAAGGGTGGGCTTAAGGCTTCAAATTCCCAATTGAAGCTCCAAAAAAGTGACCCGAAAGTTTCTGTGTCTGCCCTAAAACCCATTATCTCCTGTAGTTGCATAGCTGAGATTGGTGAAAACCAAACCCAGAGTCCCATCCTGTAGGTGGCTGAATTACAGTGCAAACTGAATTCCCTCTCACCTTGGTCTGCTGTTAAAATTAGGGCATTGATTGGGAAAGAATGGGATCCTCAGATTTGGAATAGGGCCATATGGGAACATCCTGATGAAGCTGGGGATGTTGAACTCCTAAATTTTACTCACTGTTTTTTGCTAGTAGAAGCAATTCTTTCACCTTTGAGGAAGTTAACCTTGCTTTGCCTGGTGAAGCTGTAATGGCCTCCCTTGAGGTAGCTACCTTGCAAGACATTGCTGGTTCTCCTCAGGTGTCCATGAAGAGCTCTGGGGCTGCTCTTCTCTGCAGATCAGAGATTGCAGTGTGAGCTGCTGCCACTGACTGGGGTCCTTAACTGCAGCAGGGATGGTTGGATCCCGAGTGGCAGGGACCATGTGATCACCAAAGACTAAGTGGGCATGTTGCCATCATAGGGTACAGTGGAGTCAAAGCAACAGTCTGAACAGTCTGACTCGAGAGTCCCATGGCATTGGGTAGGTAGTCATGGTGTCTGTAGAAGAGAATTCCGTGGGCAGTCTACTGAATCCTGAATTGATCTGTATAAGCAAGAGTTCTAGGTCAAGTGAATGGAAGCCTTACTTGAATTACCAAAAGAAAGAGTTATGGTCCCTCAATCAATTCCCAGATTTGAGTAATTTTACAGTCCTAGAACCCCTTGAATGAGGGGAGGCTGGATCCTTTTGAGGAAAGACCGCATTGTGCTGCCAAGAATTTGTACTGTTAGTTTTTTTCCCCAACTTTTCCCAGAAGGACCTATGGTTTATCAGGGTAAGTGTGCATTGGAGAAAAAGAAATAATCAGACTTCTCATGGATGACTGAACACTTAACTCTGAACTGACACTAATTCCAGGACACTCAAAGTGTCATTTTGGCCCACCATTCAGAGTAGGGGCTTGTTAAGGTTAGGTGGTCAATGGAAGTTTAACCCAGGTCCTCCTCAGAGTGGGTCCCCATATTCATCTTGTGGTTACTTCCCCAGTTCCAGGATGAATAACTGGTATAGACATACTCAACAACTGGCAGAATCCCCACCCTGGTTCCCTGACCTGTGGAGTGAGGGCTATTGTGGTAGGAAAGGCCAAGTAGAAGCCACTAGAGCTGCCTCTTCCTGGAATAATAGTAAGCCAAAATCAATACCGCATTTCCGGAGGAATTGCAGAGATTAGTGCACTTAAGGATGCAGGGGTGGTGATTCTTGACATATTCCCATTCAGCTCTCCCATTTGGCCTGTGCAGAAAACAGATTGATCTTGGAACATGACAGTGGATTATCATAAACTTAACTGAGTGGTGATTAATTGTAGCTGTTGTTCCAGATGTCATTTCATTGCTTGAGAACCTATCCCCAGTAGCTGGCATGCAGTTATTGATCGGCTAAATGTTTTCCTTAGTAAGTATTTATTAGTAAGATCACCAAAAGCACTTTTCTTTTCTTTTTTTGAGACAGAGTGTCACTCTGTCACCTAGGCTGGAGTGCAGTGGCGCGATCTCACTGCAACCTCCGCCTCTCGGGTTCAAGCAATTCTCCTGCCTCAGCCTCCTGAGTAGCTGGGATTACAGGCGTACACCACTACACCCAGCTAATTTTTGTATTTTTAGTAGAGATGGTGTTTCACCATGTTGGTCAGGCTGGTCTTAAACCCTTAGCCTCATGATCTGCCAGCCTCAGCCTCTCACAGTGCAGGGATTACAGGCATGAGCCACCGCGCCTGGTCAGGCAGTTTTCTTTCAACTAACAAAGCCAGAAATACACCTTCGCTGTCCTACCTTGGGGATATCAACTCTCCAACTCTGTGTTGTAATTTAGATCACAGGGATCTTGTTATGAGTTGAATTATGTCTTCTAGAAACTCACATATTGGAATCCTAGCTCTCAGTACCTCAGGATATGACCTTATTTGGGAATAGGGTAGTTACAAATGTAATTAGATAAGATGAGGTCATACTGGAGTAGGCTGGGCCCCTAATCCAGCACGACTGGTGTTCTTAAAAAAGGAGAAATTTGAACACAGATATTCACACAGGGAGAATGCCATGTGACATTGAAGTAAAGGAACACCAAGAAATGTCACACATTTCCAGCAAACCATCAGGAGCAAGCCGGGAGGCATGAAATTCTTCCTCACTGCCCTTGAAGGAACCAGCCTTGCTGACACCTTGATCTTGGACTTTTAATCCCAGAGCTGGAGACAGTACATTTCTGTTGTGTAAGCTCTTCAGTTTGTGGTTCTCTATTACAGCAGCTGCAGCAAACAAATACAGACCCTGATCGCCCTTCCCTTCCACAGGACATCATACTGGCCCATCACATTGATGACATTATGCTGATTGGACCTGGTGGGCAAGAAGGAACAACTACTCTAGACTTACTGGTAAGACATTTGGGTGTCAGAGAGTGGGAAATAATTCCAACAAATATTCAGGGCCTTCTACCTCAGTGAAATGTCTAGGAGTCCACTAGTGTGGTGTAGGGCGTGTTACCACCTACAACAAAAAGAGAGAAGCAAGATCTAGTGGTCCTCTTTGGATTTTGGAAGTGACAAATTACTCATTTGGGTGTGCTATTTCAGGTTGTTTACTGAGTGACTTGAAATGCTGCTGGCTTTGAATGGATCCCAGAACAAAAAGCAACTCTGCAACAGGTCCAGGGTGTTGTGCAAACTGCGCTGCCACTCAGGCCATATGACCCAGCAGAGGTTATGGTGCTTGAAATGTTAGAGGCAGATTGAAATATGCTGTATGAAACCTTTGGCAGGCCATATAGGAGAAAATTACAGTGTAGATCCTTAGGATTTTGGAGCAAAGCCTTTCCATCCTTAGCAGGTAACCGCTCTTGTATTAAGAAAAAGGATTGAGAGCTTTTGGGCTTGCTACTGGGCTTAGTAGAAACTGTATGCTTAACCATGGGCCACCAAGTCATGCAGCTGACTAAAAAAATGACTAGAGTATTTCAGCAGTTAAGAGCACAAGCTGATGGCATGTGTTCAAATCCTGGTTATACAAGTATTATATTTGCTAACTGTGTCATCCTTGAGTAAGTGACCAAACTTTGTGTTTTAATTTTCTCACGGAGTGATTTTGTAGAATAAATGAGATGATACAGTGCTTAGCACAGAACCTGCTCATTTTTAGCTTCTCTTAATACAACTGAAACTGCTATTACAGTGTCATGAGAAGTAATTAGTCCATGTCTTTAAGTGTGATTGTAGAATTTTTTTGTCTTGGTACAGCAGAAAAAATAGAGTGATTTTTTTGAATTCATGTGAACCAGAGCAGAAGTTTGAAATGGTGAACAGTCTTGTAGGCATTATGTGCTTTCAAGTTCTGAGTTTATTACTTCTGAGAATTAACTATGGTAGCAGTGGTCTACGACTTCTGTGGGTGAAAGGGTAGCTGGGCTTTAAGCATGTGCAGCAGTGGGCAAAGAATGGAGGTGTGGGAAGAAGCATCAGACATTAGGAAGGAAGGGGTCCTCCCAGAGAAAGGGGAGGTGGGTGGTTCAGATTTTGTGATGCCAGTGGCAAGATGAGTCCTGTTGGAAAGTCTCATTGTTAACCAAAAATTATTTTCAAGGCAGACTTAAAAATTAGGGCTTCCCCATTTTCACCTACTTCTTCTACATTGCCTTTGTAACTTATTGGACTTGATAAATTGAATTAAACATAGTATTTTATTTGGAGTCCTTGATTTTTTAACCTAAGCATGGATTATAGTAACTCTTCCTTGCTATTCGAAATACTGAAATTCTTGTTATAGTTTGAGCTGCTAATTAGGCTGCATTGTAATTTGAGTCATTTGTTAAAATTAGAAGAATTAGATAAACAGTGATGGGCTTGCAATGTAGTGTTTGCCAAACGAATGTCATCTGTAATGTTAAGAAAAATTTTATTTGTATGGCACACCATGTAAAATAAAGCAGACCTATTTCAAGTTCTAAATGCAAGTTTTTATTTTATTTTTCTTGCCATATTCATCACTGTAAATGCAAGATTTTAAAAAGACATATTTTAAAATTGGACCCAGAATACAAGTGCTCTTCATTACAACATGGCTTCTGGTACTCTGATGATCAAATCACATTTTCTGAAATATATTTGATACAATAAACACTGACAAAACTATTTAACCCCACAGAGAAGGTTATGAGTATTTTTCACTAAAGCCAAGGTGAAACAGATGCTATTGCAATTTCCTTGGTGTAAAATATATGTATAATATCTCATATGTCCTTTTTTGGTTTAACAAACATAGGCATTATTTTCTTTATCAAGTAAATTCCTATTGCTGAGCATGTTTTAGTTAATAACAATAAATTTGTGTTAAACCTGATTTTCAATGTAGGAGATAGAAATGAAATTTATAGTTTGGCTCTCAATCCTTTATTTTCAGGGAAAAGACAATTTATACACATGGGCAATTTGTGGAGATGTGGGAAATCCATTAGACTAGCAGCTCGCGCTCTGTCGCTCTCTCGCTCTCGTCTCTTTTTTTCCCCCTAGTAATCCAGGAACAAGTTATGAACTATTACATGTCCTTGCATTCCTTATCTGTAAACATAAAGGATGGCACTAAGGGGCCTCTCTGTTTTCTTCCAAGTCTTAATATTCTGTGGTTCTAATGCAGACAACTATGACTAAACCTAAGGTTACTCCTTTTATACAGTTGTGCTCAGGGTCTGTATGGCCTGCCATTTTTGGAGTCCCTGTAACAAAGACTTTGAGAAGATGAAAATAATGCTGACTCATGCAGTGGTTGGGAAAATTTCCAAAGGAGAGTAGGCTTGTGTTTTCCATTGCTGTGTAACAGATTACCCCCAAATTTAGCAGCTTAACACAGGTTTATTATCTCAGTTTTTCTGGGTCAGGAATATGGCACATCTTAGCTGGTTTGCTGCTTAGCATCTCAAAGTGTCAGTCAGGCTATGTTCTCATCTGGAGGCTCAACTATGGAAGAATCTGTTTGCAAACTCATTCAGGTTGTAGGCAGAGTTCATCTTTTGGCCTACATGAGTAAGTGTGCCATCTTCTTCCTGTTGACTGGTGGCCTCCCTCAGGGACCAGAGGCTGTTCAGTGTATGCGGCGCTGTCCGTAGGCAGTTCATCATATGGCACTTTGTTTCCTTGAGGCCAGCAGGAGGGAGACTCTTTCTCCTATCTGCTAAGATGGAGTCCTTTCTATCTTTTCTACCGTTTAGTGCTTAGAAGTAAGTGACAGGTTCCACCCACACTCAAGGGGAGAAGATTCTACAAGGATGTAGCTCACTAGGGTTCACCTTGGGGTGTGTCCCAAAAGACTATTTCTGTATTGACATTGTGGCATGCCTATACATTATTGGGCTTATTTAGCAAAGAAATCTATGACATTACTTTTTTTTTCTCCCTCTTATCAAAATTAAGGTACTTTCTGATTGCCTAGATTTCAACTAAATGCAAGTTTAATTTTTATTTGCTTTGGGATTTTTGGTTTCAAGCTTTAACAGGAGAAGAAAATCTCCATTGAAACCTCCTTCTGCTTTTTTGAGCACCCGGAATGGAGGAAGAGTGCTGATCTGACAAGCCAGGCTCCAGGACAGTAATAGTCATGTGTGGCTCAACAATGGGGATGCATTCTGAGAAATGCATCATTAGGCAGTGTTGTCATTGTGTGAACATCACAGAGTGTATTTACACAAACCTAGATAGTAGAGCCTCCTACACACCTAGGCTATATGGTATAGCCCGTTGTCCCAGGCTACAAACGTATATGGCATGTAATTGTACTGAATAGTGTAGCAGTTGTAGCACAGTGGTAAGTACTTGTGTATCTAAACATAGAAAAGGTATAGAAAAAATATGATATTATAATGTTATGGGACTATCACCATATATGCAGTGTGTCATTGATGGAAATGTCATTATGGGGCACATGACTATATATGGTTTTGTTTTCCAGTGACTAGAGTCTTAGAAATATACATAAGCCTTTCATGGGAATAAACCTTCCTTTAGTTCCTTTTCTTTTGGTTCTCATGAGTGGTGTTCTTCCCTTTGGACTGATACGGTGGGATTCTAATTGGGTGTTGGGTTGGGAATAAAAGTGGAGTAAGGGCTGGAAAGACCTCATTATTGTCTGGCTTAGTTTACTACAGTTGTGCATTGACACAGACACATTTTATGTGATTGAGAAATATTAGTTCTTATAAGAAGAAGGCATTGGACCTTTGAAAAGAGTTAAGGTGTGCAATAAGAGAGTTGGAAGTAAATGGAGTAGGGAAGTTAGTAGGTATGAGTTTAAGTTGAGATCAGTCAGCGTGGTTTATTTTCTTATCCAGCTTACACACAGGTGTCAGATTGGATTTGACACAGTTAAGGTTCAGCCAAACTAATGTGATAAAGACAGAGCAGCCCAGATTTGGAGGTATATGCAGAGAGTAATTATGAATGATAGACTTATTTTGTGGACTGAATGTTTGTGCCTCCCAAAATTCCTGTCTTGAAGCCCTAATCCCCAGTGTGATGGTATTAGGATGTGGAGCCTTTGGAGGGTAATTAGGTGATATGGTTAGGCTTTGTGTCCCCATCCAAATCTCATCTTGAATTATAATCCCCATGTGTCAAGGGAGAGACCAGGTGGAGGTAATTGAATTATGGGGGCAGTTTCTCCTGTGCTGATCTCGTGGTAGTGAGTTCTCATGAGCTCTGATGTTTTATAAGAAACTCTTTCCCCTTTCACTCAGCATTCCCTGCTACCTTGTAAAGAAGGTGCCTTGCTTTCCCTTTGCCTTCTGCCATGATTGAAGTTTCCTGAGTCCTCTTCTAGCCATGCTGAACTGTGAGTCAATTAGACTTTTAAATCAGCTTTGTCTAACACAGGCTGGCTCCCTGTGTTAGTTCATTCTCACACTGCTATAAAAATACTACCTGAGACAGGGTAATTTATAAACAAAAGGTATTTAATGAGTCACAGTTTGGCATGGCTACAGAGGCCTCAGGAAACTTACGATCATGGTGGAAGGCAAAGGGGAAGCAGGCACCTTCTTCACAAGGCAGCAGGAGGCTGGGGGAGGGAACAGGGGAAACTGCCATTTTTAAAACCATCAGATCTTGTTGAGAACTCCCTGTCACAAGATCAGCAAGAGGGAAACCGCCCCCCGATCCAGTTGCTCTCACCAGGTCCCTTGCTCAACATGTGGGGATTACCATTTGCAATGAGATTTGAGTGGGGACACAGAGCCAGATCATGTCACTTCATTCAAGGTTACAGAGTGGCTGCTAGAACCCCCAGAATCCTTATGTTGTGTTCCTTTCTCACCCCCAGTTTAGGAGAGAGAATTAGGTCCCCAAACCATGAAATTGAAGTTCTCCTCAAAATTCTTAGACTCCCCTGAGTCACA